TGAAGGCATAAAGATAAATAAGATACATTTAGTCCTTGTATGTTGTCCATCCTGAGTGAAAACAGCTCAAAGCCTGCTGAGAGATGCAGGTACAAACCAGAATGTTATTATGAGCTGGCAAGATAGCTCGGCGGGTAAAGGCACTTGAAGCCAAGCCTGACAACCCTGGTTCAATCCCTGGGATCTACACGGTGGAAGGAGAAAAATGGTTCCCGTAGGTTGTCTTCTGACTTCATGTGTGTACTGTGGCATGTGTGGTCCCACACAGATATGGTAACAGTCATCATAAAACAGATATATTTGATGCAATGTAAAAAGATACCATGGGGGTCACACAGGAGGGTGCCTCTAGACTTTTTTTTTTTAAAGAAGAAATGTGAAATGGGGAAGAATTGCCTGCTGCTGCTGTTTCTCCTGGGTACAGGGTGGAAGACTTTGAAATTTTCTTAATGGACATCCCTCCAGAGGGACAACTGCTGTCCTATGTCCTCATGAAACCTTACCTGGAGGTAATCATCTGTGGTCACTCCAGCAAGACAATCACTCTAGAGAACCATTTACAAACCACTGTTTACTCCTGGCTCACTTATTCTCCATCTAAAAGTGCCTGCCGTCCTCCCACCCCACACTGGTTAAAGACAGTATCTAAACCTAACCGATGTTGTCTCTTTTGTATGGTTGCCATTTCCAGGCCTGGCAAATAAGTATTGTGTGTTCTTCACCCATGTATGGTCAGTGTATTTCAGTGATGGGAAGACAAACTCTTCAGAAATTCCTTTTCACTCTTGGGAAGAAAGAAAGGATGTGGTGTTGTTTGGGGGAAACTAACTGAAATGCCAGAGATAAAATGTAGATTGTGCAGGCCTGCCTGTGCTGTCTGCTGGGAGTCTGCCTTTCATCTTGAGGCTCGTCAGTCTGTAATGGACCACTGTTCAGAGGCAGGTTCGGACTGCTGGTATGTTGTAAGACCCGAGGCCTGCAACCCTATCAAGTTCCTGTGTGGTACTGGTCTAAGGACTGGTACATCGAGAAGCAGGGCTTTGGGAGAGGAGAGTCAACAGATTGCAGTAAAGGAGAATGAACCTGCCAGATCTAACTACTAGGCTGCAGGGTAGAGACAGACTGGTATGGCAGGTACTTTTAAAAGTCTTAATGAATTGTGAAACTCACAAAGTCGTTAATGGCACAATAGTAGACTGTAGACACTCATGCACCATAGAGATTGTATGGCTTGAAGTCTCCTTTTATAGGATATGAAGAACAGCTTGCTTTTATCTTTTGTGTGTGTCCTTGTGCATGGATATGTTCATATGTGTGAGAGTGTGTGCAATGTCAGAGGGTAACCTCAGCTAACGGTCCTTACTATGAACCTTGGCTGAGACTAGGTCTTTTGTTCTACAGGGATTACAGGCAAATGTTACCATTCCTGTTTTTTTATGTGGGTCCTGGATACTTAAGCACTTAACCCACCAGGCCATTTTGCTGGCTCAAAGACAGTTTCGTTTTTTTTTTTTAAATTTTAGGTATGTGAACATTTTACTTGCATGTGTGATTGTGTACTGTGTGAGCACCTAATACCTGAGGAGACCAGACTGGGTGCCCTGGAACTGGAGTTAGGAGTGAAGGGTGTTGAAAGTCAACATGTGGGTGCTGGGCCATCTGCAAGGGTTGCAAGTTCTCTTCACCACTGAGCCGTCTCTGGAGAACCCAACAGCACCTCTGGAAGGCAAGACAGCTGCTGGGTGTAAAACTGGCACACACTTCTTTCTTTTTTCTTTTTTTGAGACAAGGTTTCTCTGTGTAGCCTTAGCTGCTCTTGCTGTTCTGGAACTTATTCTGTACACCAAGCTGGCCTTGAACTCACAGAGATCTGCCTGTCTCTACCTTACCACCACCTGACACTGACACCTGATACTTTCAAGAAAATTCATTTAGCTAGTATAGGGCCCTGCATCTCCCACAGAAGTACCTTGGGCAACCCTGAAGTTGCTGGCCGGAACTGCTTGCCCCAGAGCTGCTATTGGTACTCTTCCTGCCCCTTCTTTCCCCAGTTGTCATTGGTACTCTTGCTGTTTTGCTAACACACACCTGGTGGGGAGGAGCTAAGCCTGAAAATCCTGTTATTTTCCCTGTGCTGTAAATCAGTATATAAGCCCACTCCATCCCCTCAATAACCGGCATTCGGTGTTCTGACATTGCCACTGAACGAATAACCTGCTGTCATGTCTCTTATTTCAATCTCTAGGCCTTCATGGAACAGATCATAGCACAGGCGCTACAAGCTAGTCTATTTTTCCTTCCAATTTCCTTATTCTGGGGTATCATTGAGAGCCAAATAAGTTTTTATGAGATTAAGGAGGAAAAAAGGCTCACACTTTTAATCCCAGTATGTAGAAGGCAGAGGCAGAGGCAGGTGCATCTTTGTGAGTTTGAGGACAGCTGAGGTTACTTGTGTGTGTGTGTTGTGTGTGTATCTGTATTCAGTCAATGGGAATTATAGAGGCTGCGGTTTTCTGTTGCAAGCCAGGTTAGAAACACCACTACAATGCCACATCACCTGGATGAATGTATTACATTCCATGAACCCTTTTTTTCCATCTAATGTTTTGAATACATTCAGAAGGGCAGATTTTACTGTGGCTAAATATGTTAATGTCCACTTGTTCTTGGGTGTTTTAAACTTCTTTGTGCATATAGGAGTGGTTTTGGATGTTTTAATTTTCTTTTAGATTTGCATATTTAATATGTATGGGTGTTTTGCCTGCATGTAAGTCTGTGCATGCCTGGTGCCCTGGAAAGCCAGAAGAGGGCATCAGATGTCTGGACAGATGGTTGTAAGCTACCATATGGATGCTGGGACCTAAACCCAAGTCTTCTGGAAGAGCAGCCAGTGTCTTAACCATTGAGCCATCTCTCCAGTCTCCATAAGAGTATTAAGGAGTTAACATAGCTCAGGCTGGCCCTACAGTCACTGAGTAGTTAAGGGTGGCCTTCAACCGATTCTCTTGTCCCTCCCTCCCAAGTGGTGAGTTTGCAGGTGTACACAACCCAACTTTCAGAGATCAGTCAGCTGCTTGTAATACTTTGGGTCTGTGCTTCCCATAACAGCAGAACAGGGAAAGACACACGCCTGCTCTCTGTGTGTCTCAGAAGAAGATTAAGGCTGTTCGGCAAAGCTACTTCAGAGGTTAACAAGCAAGGACAAGATGGAATGTGCTGAGCTGTGTTATAGACAGGATCTCACTGTGTAGCAGGAAGCAAATACGGCCTGCTCTTGTAGTCACATGTCTCTTGCTTATCTACCCAACCAGTAGCTGAAACTGAGAAACAGCTGACTTTAGTCTTTCCAGGAAGTTTGTTGAAAAGGAGAAGTAACAGGAAAAAAAAAAAAAAAAAAAAAAAAAAGACTATTAGCTAACAGAGTGATCTAAACAATATGTCAGCAAGTTAAGTTCCAGGAAGAATGGGGATTTTTCATACAGTCTTGGGCTCAAAATATCTAAGGGAAATGTGATGTGGCTACCTGGCCACCTTTAAATGAGAATTTGATGTTCTAAAAAGGTTTATAAATTTAGGAATAGAACTCCCCACAAAAAAGGCTTTTTTAAAGGAGTACTGAGCCGGGTGGTGATGGTATCCTCCTTTAATCCCAGAACTTGGGAGGCAGAGGCAGGCAGATCTCTGAGTTCAAGGACAGCCTGAGAAATCCTGTCTCAAACTGCCCCCCCCCTCCAAAACCAGATTGCCTAGAACAAAGCTGCTCTTTAGTGAGTTCCAGCACAGCTAGAGCTATATATACTGGGAGACCCTGTCTTAGAAAAACAAAACCAGGTGGGTGTTGGTGCACACTTTTGATCCCAGCACTCAGGAGGCAGATGCTGGTGGATCTCTATGAGGTTGAGGCCAGCCTGGCCTACAAGCAAGTTCTAGGACAGCCAGAGAACCCTGTCTTGAGAAACCAAACCAAAAAAATAAAAAAACCCAAAATATTTGCCTATAGGCAAAGTCTATAGTGTAGTTTCATAATTGCTGGTTGCTGTGGGGAAGACCAGCCCGTTATGGGTAGTGCAGGCTGAGGAGGCCGCAGGAATTAAGTCAGTAAACAGCACCCTCCATGGCCTCCTTATCAGTCCATTCTCTGTTTGAGTTCCTGCGCTAACTGCCCTAACTTTGGTGATGAACGGTGATAGGTAGTGTAAGCACAATAAACTCTTTCCTCCTTCCTCCACAGTTTACTTTTGGTCATGGTTTCATTACACAGCAATATCCTAAGATAACATCTATGAACATGCTTTGTTTTCTTTGTGTAGTGTGTGTGTTGATGGATGTGTGTAATGTGGTGTGGATGTGTTTTTCAGTATACACGTATATGGGTACATGTTTGCATGTGCATACAAATAGACAAAGGCTGGAAGCTGACTTTGTTTGTCTTCCTCAACTGCTCTCCAACTTATCATTATTTTTGGAGGCAATGTCTGAAGCTCAGTGATTCAGATAGCCTGGCTTGTCAGCAAGCCCTGGACAGAGATCCTTCTGTCTCCACCTCTGCAACACTGGGACACCGGCCTGACTTTTACACAGGTGCTGATGATCTACAAGCCAGGTCATTACGTTTGTGCAGCAAGCACTTTCCCAGCTAAGCCATCTTTTAGCACCCTCCCCGACTTTTTTGTGGTGAGTTCCAGGGATCACAGTGAGCCACATTGCCAGCCATCAATGATGCAGAGGCACAAAGAGACAGAATCCCTAGAGGTACCAGGACAGTAGTCATGCTTAGATAGGATTCTCCTCTAATTCCAAGGGCTAAAGTCACTAGGAGAATTCCTTCTCCCTTCATTTATCACCACAATGATGGGCATCCCTTTTCTGACTTAGTGGGACAGGAACACTACAGAAGATAACCATTTGGTAAGACCATTCCAGAGGTGCAATGACTACTGGAGCTTCTGACCTTTTCCATGAATGGGAACAGGTCCTTCTCGCCCCCCCCCCATAGTTACCCAGTCTCAGTCATTGGAGTGATGGTGGCAGCAACAAGACCCCGAAGTTTCTTCTTAGGGAAGGCCATCGAGCTGCTGGGAGGTCTGGAAAACACAGTGTCATTACTTTCATTATTCTCTTTCTTCAAGGAATGTCAATTAATGACCAAACTCCCAGGCCAAAGTTCAATCCCAGGTTAGTATTGTAAAGTACGCTTACAACATAGAAACACCCAGAGCAAGTAGAAGAATGTAAAAATTTAGAGCTGAACTACATTGGTGGGGAGACTTTAAGACAAAGAGAGGGTGGCCCTGGAAAACACTATCTGGAAGGCCTTCCATTTTTAGCTACATAGAGAATTGGGGGACCTGAGACTTCGAGAGTAGGGGTAAAACCCAGCAGACCCAGGACAATGGCTACAACTTCTTTCTAGGGTCTCAGACACATGAGGAATTGCTATTACTTAAACTGAATGAAGTCAGAAAGAAGGTAGTCTCTCCTCCATCTTAAGTGAAATGCCACCAAAATGCAACACTTACGCTTTCAATGAATCATATTAACTATCATTCAACTAACCTATGTATGCTCCGATATTCTAAATTTGATTGATTTATTTTGCAGCTTCTCTGGGTTATTTCTGGTCTCTTTTTAACATTTATTTGTGTATGTGCCTAGGTATGAGCACATACATATCACAGACCATATGCAGAGGTCAGAGGACAACTCAACTCATGAGAATCAGCTCGTTCCTTTTGCTATGCAGAATCAGGAATTGAATTCTGGTTGTCAGGCTTGGCAGCGAGCTGCTGAACCTTTTTTTTTTTTAAGGCAGGATTTTTGTAGGCCTTGCTGGCCTCTAATTCACTAAGTAGCCAAGGACGAACTTGAACTCCCATTCTTCCTTCCTGTTTCTGGGATTACTGGTATGTGTCACCATACCCAATCTCTTTTTATATTTTTATAGTATGTTACAAGCATGTACCACCACACTTTTTATTTATTTATTTATTTATTTATTTTTTTTGTGGTTCAGGATGAAGTCAGGTTTTTGTGCATGGTAGGCTCTTACCCAATTCCGCTATACCCCAGTTAACACCTGGTTTTCAATTCATGTATGATGACTGTGTGGGAGACTGACCAAGCTTTTCAGATTGCCCCCGATGGTGATTCCCCTGACAGGCACTCACTGTTGGAAGCGGGCAACCTCATTTCATTTGTTCATCCAGAACTGATGGACCTGTCCATCAGGCAGGGGGAACCTGTCCATACTAACCCAGACCCACCAGGGAAATGCGTATCTTGGGAAAGAGCCTGGATCCAGGAGGCAAATCACAACACCTGCTGCAAAATAGTTCCATCTGGCACTCCTATAGTGACCTTAACTCAAGATACCCAGAGTGAACCGGCCATCTTAGGCTCTCAATTCTTCCCTTTCCTTACAAGAGGGAAGATAGAGGGTAGCTCTGGAGTCAGACTTCAAGGGCCTGCATCTTGCCTCTACCAATTCTCTCTCCATGCTTTTTTATCCCTCTATAATTCGAATAATAGTAACCACATTTCATAGAGTCAAATAAATGAATCGACACAACATGCTTGGTGACTGCCAGGCAATTGGTCATGGGAGCATAGGCTCGGTGTTGTCCATGAAGTCCTGTCCAGTGGGGACAGTTACCTGTGACTGTGCTTCCTCCCCAACACTCAGCACTTTTGCTTATTGAGGTCCCGAATCATTTAAACTGCTACCTTCTCACCTGGAACTTCCTTCCCTCCTCCTGCCAATCTCATGACCTACCCCATGCTACCTTTTATCTGGATCAGTGGTCATTGACCCAGGTCCAAGAGGACCTTCATGGGGCAAGAACTTTAAAAAGATAAGAAAGCCAAGTGCTTGAGCCGGTCATCATTTAGTGTTCCAGATCAAATGGTCTGCTCTGGCTACCTAGACTTCCATGTTCTGCTTCGGGCTACACTTGGTTCACATTTAATGACAACATTCTTTTAAGTTCTGATTGGCAGTCTTATGTGTCTTTGAGAGCTATTAAATTAATAACCACTTAGATGCAGTTTGAGTAGTTAAAAATGTGGGGCCTGTGGGAGAAGAGAGCGAGGGCTGGGAATCACTGTGAAACCTCCAGAACACCCACATTTCTAATCTTGTCTCTGTCCTATTCAGAGGATATCAACTTCCTGGCCTGCCTGGGAGGGTTCTTCATGCCTGCAGTGTATCGGCTCTACTGTTCGAACCCATTCCGTGACTGCTGTCTGCCTTTTCCTCTGGCTTCTCTTTGTTACACAGCATCTGTCTCCCACTTCAATCCCTTCAGTGTAGCCCTATTTTTAAACTCACTTTAAGAATCAAGGAATTACTGTGCACCACCTCCCAGCACCTGGGAGGTGGAGACGGGAGGGTCAGGAGTTCAAATCCATCTGTGGCTACATAGTGAGTGGAAACCAGCTGGGTTATGTAAGATCCGGTTTCAAGAACATAAAATCAAAACAAAACAAAAAATTAGAGGATTCAGCCAGGCATGGTAGCGCACACCTTTGGTCCCAACACTTGGGAGAAAGAGGCAGAAAGAGTTCCAGGACAGCCAGGGCTACATAACAAAGAGAACTTGTGAAGAAAAATAGATTTCTTGATCCTCTAAACTGAAAATTGTTTAATTTCAGAATTTCCCTTGAAGAATTGTTTCTCTTTAGAACCCTTACAGAAGCTGGATATGGTGGCGCACACCTTTAGTCCTAGTACTCAGGAGGCAGAGGCAGGTGGATCTCTGATTCGAGGCAGGTGGATCTCCTCTGATTCAAGGCCAGCCTGGTCAACAAAGCAAGTTCCAGGATAGTCAGGGCTACACAGAGAAAACCTGTCTCTCAAAAAACAAAGACAAAACACAACATCAGAGTTATAAGTAAGATATATGTTTAATTCCTGTCCAAGGCTGCAAGTCACCTGGAAGCAGGAGGATCAGTCAGTCTGAGGCCAGCTTGAGACACAGGATACTATCCCAAGGAAACAAAACACAAGCTTGGTGTAGTTATGGGTGCCATTAATCTTAGCACTCAGCACTCAGGAGGCAGAGGCAAAGCAGACCTCTGTGAGTTCAAGGCCAGCCTAGTTTACACAGAAAGTTCTAGGACAAGAGAGACCCTGTCTCAAGTGACCCCCCCCTTAAAAAAAAAAAAACCCAACGAAACAAAATCGGTAAGCTTTAACAGTGAATAATCGATAGTTTTAAAATACAAATTTTAGGATTGCCTTGGGAGTGTAATTTAAATTAATAGCAAATCACAACGTTCTCACATTTAAAGTGAATTTGGAATGTTCTTTTTGAAACGCTGGGGAGGGAGTAGCACCTTGGAAACTCACACCTGCACCCACACGTAGGAACAGCAGAGCAGAGAAGCCAAAGTTCCTTTTAAAACCGCCAAGTTTAAAAGGGGGCCAGGGGATTTGATGTAGCTCTGAGCAAGGAGAATGACTTGAGAAATACTTGGCTAACTAGAAATTCGGATATTAGAAAACACAAAAGAAGCCAAAAAAAAAAAAAAAAAAAAAAAAGCAAGCAACCTCTTAAAACAAGTGATGGGTGTATTAGAGTCAATGGCTAAATCCCCTTCTGGTCAAAGCCTAAATGACCCATTCAGACGGGATTCCTGGAGGCCGGGCTACCTGGCTCTGCAGAGTCCCCAAGTGTCACTGGCCACAAGCGGTAGGGTCACCCTCACAGTCCCTGCGCTCCCCTGTCCAGCGTACCTGTCCTTGCTCCTCTTGTAGGCGTCGCGCTCACCGGCTCGGTCCAGTGCACTGGGGACGCTGTCTCCACTGAACAGAGCCGTTGCGCTTTTATTTCAAGGGCTGTGGAACCACGTGCGGCCGCAAGGGGAGCCTGGGGGTTGTAGTTCCACTTCTGGCCCCAGGAACGCTGTTCCAAGGGCTTGAATCCCAAGACTGCACTAGTTGCTCTTTCCTGGGTGTGGCCTGCGCCTGCACTTCATGAGCACCCACCCTACTGCTCCTGGAGTTCTGGAGTTCTTCCTGCCCAGGAACTGCAAGAACCGGTCTTGGTGGTGCTGGATGTGAGATGTGAGACGCAGTGTCTTAAGCATCGTAGCTACCCAGCTGGTTGGCGGCTCTCTCCAGGCTGATGCTGCAGCCCCAATGGGGCACTCTTGTAGGAAAAAAGGGAAGTGAGAGGATTTTGAGAGTAGATTATAGGCTGCGGGTGGTTGTGAACACTTTTAATCCCTGCACTGGTTAGAAAGAGGCAGGCAGATCTCTGAGTTTGAGGCCAAAGTGACAAGGTCTAAAAGTTCCAGGACAGCCAAGACTGGGCAACCAGTCCTCTGGTTGTAAACCCTGTCTTGAAAAAACAAACACAACACAACACAAAACAAAAAGAATTATGGGCTGGAGAGATGGCTCAGTGATTAAAAGGGTTTACCACTCTTGCAGAGAACCCCAGTTCAATCCCCAGTTGGGCCACCCAGTTTTGATCACTCATACCGCGCCTCACAACTGGCTGTTAACTTCTGTTCTAGGGAATCCAATGCCTCCTGCATACTCTCAACCACAAACATAACATTTTAAAAAATTAAGAAACAACGTGTTAGCTGTAAACACAGACAGGAGGCTTGCTGCCCTGTTCTGGAGAAACAGTTGAAAGACCTTTGAATGGGAAACAAATATTTTTAATCAAAATCTCTACTTTTGGGATCATCAAGTCCTTTTTAGTCTCCTGAAGCCCAATTTGACCTTGAACTCTGTCTAGGATTCGTTTAAACTCCTTATCCCTCTGCCTCCACCTCTCTAATATTGGGATCCCAGATGTGTGTTACTGCGGCTGACAGCAAATCCAGGGCCTCACGATGGGCCCACTGATGGAGCTGCATTCCTCACCCATGACTGGCTCTTCACATCTTTGTAATGCCAGACTCTTTGCTCAGAAATCAAGAACACTGCTGCAGACAAGCCCACAGCTCTCTTGATGATGTGACTAGATCTCAATTTTCCATGAAAGGCCAACTGTAGTTCTTTGCATGTGTGGGGCTCAAGAGATTATACCCAACAATCAAGCACTCGGTCAAATGTTTTCTTTGTCTGCACCATTCCAGCTATTTGACATTTAATTTA